TTCGTTGCCCTCATTCTTGGGCCCATTGATCTCTCTCTTGAATGATAGAAACTCCTAACCGCCTTCTCTACTCCTGGTCCCCAATCTGCACACCCCCCCCTCCCCCGAGTTCTGGCGTTCAGAGGTAACGTTCTCAACCACCAATGCAATTACCGTTTGGTGCTTTTGAGGCCTCATCATGCCTGTCCGATAAAATCTGAGGTCTTTGGAGAGATATTCCAAGTGCTTTGGATGACCCTTTTCAAATCCCTAGGGACATGTTTCCCTACTGAAATTTTCACTGTTCTGACTCCTTGGGATATTGCATTTATAGTCATTTTACCATCTCGCTTTATTATATACTTGGTGGTTTAATTTTTTTTCTTGTTGTTTTCAGACTTTAAAAAACTGCTTCCTGGGAATGAAAGAAGGCACATGGGGCACCTGGGTGGCTCAGTCGGTTAAGCGTCCAACTTCGGCTCGGGTCATGATCTCACATTTTGTGAGTTCGAGCCCCGCGTTGGACTTTGTGCGGACAGCTCGGACCTGGAGCCTGCTTCGGATCCTGTGTCTCCCTCTCTCTCTGTCCCTCCCCCGCTTGCACTCTGTCTCTGTCTCTCTGCCTCTGTCTCTCTCTCAAAAATAAATAAATGTTTAAAAAAAAAAAACTTAGGAAGAGAGAAAGAAAGAAAAAAAGAAAGAAAGAAGGCACAAAGGCCAGTCAGCCCACAAATTCTGTATCCCAACCAAGACCTCTGAGTGTGTAGTTTATATTATGGCTCTCCAAGCACGGTGGGTTTTATTTTTTAATTAGCGCTTTAGTGGCATGGAGAACTCTCTTTACATGCTTGGGAAAAGTAAACAAATTTTCCAGGCAGTATATTATTTTCATCTTTTATTTTAATAAGCCTCGTTAAACACGTGGACCAACCTAGGCATTTGAAAGCTCCCGGGGGACCCAACCTCAAAATGCGGATGAGAAAGAAATGTGTGATGGTGCCCTCTCACACCTCTGTGGGCAGGAGTCCGAGGTACTTCCTCACGGTCCCCATGTGAGAAGGAAGGTCACCCAGAACAACCAAAGTCCTCAGTCTCAACCTGCCCCCCAAGGTTTCCCCAGCATTGTGGTTTTTTCCTACATATCCCCTGTGGTTCGGCCAACCAGCTCAGATAAACGCACAATTAAATTTCGCCACAGCCAGAGGAAATTTCAGATCCCAAAATGCAAACATTTATAAAACTTTGTATTCGTTCCCACCAGCTGCCGTAACAAAAGAGCACAGACTGCAGTGGCCTAAACCACGGAAATGTATTTTCTCACACTTCTGGAGGCTGGGAGTCCAAATTCAAGGTGCCTGTAGGATTGGTTTCTTCTGAGGCCTCTCTCCTTGGCTTGCAGACAGCCACCTTCTTGTGTCCTCACATGGCTTTTATCTGTACACGCATCTTTTCGGTGTCTGTCCGTGTAGCCAAACTTTCTCTTCTTAGAAGGACACCATTTGGATTGGATAAGGCACACCCTAACGGACTTATTTTAATGGAATCACCTCCTTAAAGTCCCTATATCCAAATACAGTCAAATTTTGAGTTCCTGGGGCTTTGGATTTCAACATGAATTTGGGGGTTGGGGTGGGACACAATTCAGCCCATAGAAAACAGTAAGGACGTTACCCCCTGATGCTCAGCCTTGACACTCTCGGACTTCTTCTTTTACATTTTTTTAACGTTTTATTTTATTTTTTGAGAGACAGAGAGAGACGGAGAGTGAGCAGGGAAGGGGCAGAGAGAGAGGGAGACACAGAATCTGAAGCAGGTTCCAGGCTCTGAGCTGTCAGCTGAGCCCCACAGGGCTCAAACGCACAAACCATGAGATCATGAACTGAGCCGAAGTCAGACGCTCAACCAACTGAGCCACCCAGGCGCCCCACACACTTGGGCTTCTAACAAACTCCCCCTTATGTGCTGGTCAAAGCCCCCATGAAGGTCCTTCTGTCTGAGGATTATATTTCTTTTTTCCAGCCTCCAGGCTGGTCTCTACCCCACAGCCCTAATGTGGTCTCTGGAGGAGGAATCATGTCTTTTTGTCGGAGCCTCACACACCTACCCCACATTCTTTGGTTATCATTTTCGCCTGTCACGGCGACCTCATCACTGACTCAGCTTGCCTACACTGCCATAAGAACCCTGCTTTCTTTCCTTTCTTCCTGATGCTTTTGGCTGAGACTCTTTTGCAGCCTACCCTCAGCCCTTATATTTGCAGTGGAATTTCTGAGATACTGTGTTTCTCTCTGGCTTGCTTCCCCCTCCCCTGTGCCCTGTTTTCTTTAAAAGCAGTTTTGAGTATTACTCTACTCTTTGCTATATGTAGTCACTTAAATCCCACTCACCCCACACAGCTTGAATCCCAGATGCATTATCTTTCCAATCAGAAACTCATAAAGATCATTTTCAGTGATCCTTCTAACATTTCCACTATGTAATTTTGGGGGCCCTCCCACTCCTCCCAGCTTCCGTTCACAGCTCTCTCTCTCTCTCTCTCTCTCTCTCTCTCTCTCTCTTTTTTTAATGACATTCTTGCTTCATGGACCAGGCTCAGACCTGACCAGCAGACTTGGCCACCCGGGAGTGATGCCCCAGTCCTTGGCTGTGGTCTGGGAGCAGCGCTGCTCCTCAGGAGTGAGTCAGGAGCAGAGTGCGATGCCCAGCAGTGGCAGTGGATTTGGGGATGGATAGCTCATGCCCGGAGCAGTCACAGGTCCAAGGTCGATGTCCTCTCCTGGGAAATTTGGTGGTATGTGCAGGTAGATATTTGGAGAATGGACAAGGATAGCATGACTAATCCAGGCAGAGGCTTATTGAAAAGACTTTGGGGGGTGCCTGGGGGCTCGGTGGGTTAAGCATCCAACTTCGGCTCAGGGCGTGATCTCATGGTTCAAGGGTTCGAGCCCCACATCGGGCCCGCTGCTGTCAGCACGGAGCCTGCTTCGGATCCTCTGTCTGCCTCTTTCTTGGCCCCTCCCCCACCTCAAAAAACCAAACAAACATTAAAAAAATTAAATAAAAGGCTTTTGTTTTTTGTTTTCGTCTGGCAATTGTGTGTGTGAGGGTTACGTGGGTACTGAAGACTCCCAGCCTAACGCAGAGTCACCCTGGGGGACCCTAAGAGAAACTTCAGTTCCAGGGTCTACTATCTGGAAAACCAAATTTAATTCTCAGGCGCCTGAAGCATCATGTGAGTGTCAATGTCTTTGCTTTGATCTCGCCTAGCTGAGATCTGATTATCTGCGTTCAAAGTTTGCATTAATATTCAGGCTAACTAACAGGCAAGGCTGAAAACGCTGAGGTTGCTGGCCAGCCCACTTGTTAACTACTATAATTGAACTAGACTGTGGTCATTAATATAAATGACAGTGACTCTCCTTGGTCATCTGGTCAGTAGTAAAGAGCACCGAGCTAAGAGCAAAGGATCTGTTTCCAATCCTAAGCCCTCTCTCAAGCATTATTTGCACCTCTCTGAGACATTTCCCTCACCTGCTTAAAGAATGAGATGAATATCCTGAATGCGTAACTTGCATTTGTGAAAATAACACGCACACATTGTTCAATGGTCAAATAATGCTACAAGGCTCATCGCAAAAAAAGAGCAGATTGTTTTTTATACAGATGGTCACAACAGTATCTCCCATCCCGCAGTGTTCTTCTGAGACCTTGACACCTTGGGAATGGGTGGGGGGGATTGGGGAGGGTCTATGTTTCCTCCCCCCGAACCAGAGTGACAGAGGAGTATGTATTGATCAGGGTTCTCCAGAGAGACAGATCAGTAGGATAGAGACAGAAAGACAGACAGGCACACAGACAGACAGAGACATGGATTTATTATAAGGTATGGGCTCCCCCAGTGATGGAGGCTGAGAAGTCCCACATCTGTCCTCTGCAAACTGGAGACCGAAGAAGGCCCGTGGGATGTAGTTGCAGTTCAAAGACCTGAGAGCCAGGAGCTCCAAGGGTTGAAGATGGATGTCTCAGCTCACGTGGTCAGACAGAGAGCAAGTCCGCCCTTCCTCAGTCTTTTCATTCTATTCAGACATCCAAAGGACTGGGTGATACCCACCTGCGTAGGGAAGGCTGCTCTACTTTGCTCAGTCTACTGAATCAAATGCTGATCTCTTCCAGAAACCCCCTAACGGACGCGCACACAGACGACATTTAACCGCATATCCCCGGACATTCCGCGAGCCAACGAAACTGACACGGAAAATTAGCTCTCACAGATGCCACGTGACATCTTGTTCCCGTGGGATACTCACCTCTGGAACCCTGAGCTGCCATATGGAAAGAGCTCCCATTAGGCTACCTGGAGGGATCCCCTAGAGAAGCCCTGAGACTGCATGGGGAGAGAGAGAGAGAGAGAGAGAGAGAGGTCAGGCTGGGCCCCTGTTGCTCCCGCCCCACTCCACATCCTTGAATCTGAGCACCAGCCGGAGAGCCCTGCGTCCCAAACTGCCCAGCAGAGCCCCTCCTGAAATCCTGAGCCCGGAGCCAGGGAGAGCCAACGCACACAGGGGCGGTTACCGTTGGAAGCCACCAAGTTCCAGGCAATTTGTCACCCGACAGTGGGAACCAGAACACTTCCCCACCCACCTCCTCGTTCAGCATCTCTCTGCCGAGAGCTGCCTGCCTCCTCTCTTTTAGCAACGTCTCCTCCCTGCTCATAACTCCGGGAGGATTACTTGGCTGATACGGCTCTCCGTCTCAGACGTGTCACAATCTGACTCGCTCTTTTGGAAGATGGGAGGTATCGTATTCTTCTCTCAGCCCTCCTTCCCATTTCTACCTTGTCCATCAACCAAACATTGTCATATCGGAATCTTGGTTAAGCCAACACTGACGTTTTTTTGCCTTATCGTTACTACCACCGAGTACTGTCCACTGTTGAGCAATTGACCCGCGACCATTACGTCCCCTTTCTAATCTCTCCCTTGCCCACTCCTTCGGCGTCTCATGTCAGGACCGCTTCTTACCGCCACACTCCCCAACGGGATTGCGAAGGCCCCCCAAAAGATCTTCCTGTGTGGCTAAACCCATCACACAGGGCCAGGGCGACAAGGCCACCTCTTCTGGTCGGCAATTCAGTGTTTTAGCCCAACGGTTTCTCCCAAGAGAGTCATCCTTCTGCCTGAGGATGGGCTGAGGCTGGTGATACACCCGGGTGACGCGCTGGGGGAGCAGGGGGACAGGTCTGGATGCACTTTCACACAAACCCTCAGCTTTCGGCCCAGGGCCTCTCCCCTGCCTCCCTGGTTGCCAGCTCTTCCTGGATCTGGACCTCTAGGTTTCTATTTCTCCAAAATTAACCTCTGGACCCCTGGGGAGCGGGGGCTGGGTAAGGTGGGGAGGCGGGGCCTTCGCCTGGCTGTGTGGAGAAGGGGAGGGGGCATGATGGGAAATCTTATACAGACTTTGAACCAATTCTTCCATTGCCAGGCCCAGGCAGCAGGTGCCGATTTATCCCAGCTGCGAGGCTTCCCTGGGTCTGCAGAGCCCGTCAGACCCTCCTCTGATCTGGTGCTTTTCCCTTTAAAATATTTAAGAAAAAAATCATTTTATTTGTTTTTAATCCTCATCACAGTTAAGTATACTCTTTAATCCCCATCCCCTCAGCCCCCCATCCCACGACCCACCTCCCCTCTGGTAACCAGTAGCTTGTTCTCTGCCGTTAAGAGTCTGATTTGGGTCTCTCTCTCTCTCTTTTTCCTTTGCTTGTTTATTTTGTTTCTTAAATTTAACATATGAGTGAGATCATAGGGTATTTGTCTTTGCCTTATTTCGCTTAGCACACCACGCTCCAGCTCCATCCATGCCATTGTAAATGGCAAGATTTCATTTTTTATGGCCAAATGATACTCCCTTGTCGATCTGTACCGCACCTTTATCCATTCATCACTTGCTGGACACTTGGGCTGCCAGCATAGTTTGGCTATTGTAAACAAACCTGCTCTAAATTTCAGGGTGCCTGTATCCTTTTGATTTCGTGTCTGTGATTTTCGGGGGGGGGTACATACCAGAGGTGGGATTCTTGGATTATATAGTATCTCTACATTAATTTTGGGGGGAAACTCCATACTGTTTTCCAGAGTGGGGGCACCAGTTTGCATTCCCGCTGGCAGTGCAAGAAGGCTCCCCTTTCTCCACATCCTCGCCAACACTTGTTGTTGCTGTGTTTTTGATTTTAGCCATTCTGACAGGTGCGAGGTGGTATCTCATTGTGGTTTTGATTTACATTGCCCTGATGATGAGTGATGTTGAGCATCTTTTCATGTGTCGGTTGGCCATCTGGATGTCTTCTTTGGAGAGATGTCTGTTCGTGGCTTCTGCCCATTTTTTTTTTAAAGATTTTATTGTTTTTAAGGTTTTTTTAAAAATTTATTTTGCGAGAGAGAGACAGAGACAGAGACAGAGACAGGGTAAGCATGAGTGGGGGAGAGGTAGAGAGAAGGAGAGAAGGAATCCCAAGCAGGCCTCAAGATGTCAGCCCAGAGCCTTATGTGCGGCTCGGTTTCACAAACGGTGAGATTGCAAGCTGAGTCAAAAAAAAAGAGCTGGACACTTAACCGACTGAGCCACTTAAGGGCCCCTAAAGATTTTATTTTTAAGTAACCTCTATACCCAATATGGGGCTTGAACCCACAACCCCGAGATCAAGAGTCATACGCTCTAGCAGCTGAGCCCAGCCAGGTGCCCCATCTTCTGTCCATTTAAAAAACAATTTTTAAAAAAATCTTTATTTATTTTTGAGAGAGAGAGAGAGAGAGAGACAGAGCATGAGCAGGGGAGGGGCAGAGAGAGACACACACAGAATCCGAAGCAGTCTCCAGGCTCTGATCTGTCAATGCAGAGCCTGCTGCGGGGCTTGAACTCATGAACCGTGAGATCATGACCTGAGCTGAAGTCCGATGCTAAGCAGAATGAACCACCCAGGCGCCCCTCTTCTGTCTCTGTCTCTGTCTCTGTCCATTTTTAATTGAATTATTTGTATTGGGGATATTGAGTTGTATCAGTTCTTTCTATATTTTGGATACTAACCCTTTATCTGATAGGGCATTTGCAAATATCTTCTCCCATTTAGTAGATTGCCTTTTAGTTTTGTTGATTATTTCCTTCAGTGTGTACAAACTTTTTATTTTGATATAGTCCCAGTAGTTTATTTTCCTTTTATTCCCCTTGCCTCAGGATACCTATCTAGAAAAACGTTATTAGAGCCGATGTCAGAGACATTACTGTCTACGCTTTCCCGAGCGATTTTTATAGTTCAGGGTCCTACATTTAGGTCTTTAATCCATTTTGCGTTTATTTTTGTGTATGGGTAAGAAAGTGGTCCAGTTTCCTTCTTTTGCGGGTGGCTGTCCAGTTTTCCTGACACCATTTGTTGAAGAGATTGTCTTTTTCCCATTGGATATTCATCCTCCTTTGTCAAAGATTAATTGACCATATAATTGTGGGTTTATTTCTGGGTTTTCTATTGCTTCTCCCTTTTTTATGTGAGTCACCACACTTCATCTGATTTCCCTATTCACAAAATGTGTTATTACCTCTCAGCCACCGTTACGTTCTCTTTTCTTCTCCCTGGCCCCACAGGTTTATTTTTACATCATTTAGGAGAGTGTCGGCAGACAACAGGGATGAGTACTCGTGCTGTCTGCGCCGTGTTTGAACAGCCATCTCCCCACCTACACTTTGTAAGATCACTCTCAGAACCAAACAGAACAATATATGCAAAAGTGCCTTGCAGACTCTCAGGTGCCAAACAAATGTGATTTACTATCATTTGGTCCCTTGGTGGAATTTCCTGCCTCGCTACTTTTGCCAAAATGGACACTTCAGCAAAGGCAGTCATCCTTCTAACCATAATCCTTAAAAATCTTCATTCATCTATGGGGCGCCTGAGCGGCTCAGTCGGTTGAGCGTCCAACTTCGGCTCAGATCCTGATCTCACAGCTCGTGAGTTCAAGCCTCGCATCAGGCTCTGTGTTGACAGCTCGGAGCCTGGAGCCTGCTTCAGATTCTGTGTCTCCCTCTCTCTCTGCCCCTGATCCCCTCGCATTCTGTCTCTGTCTCTCTCAAAAATAAACATTAAAAAAAAAATCTTCCTTCATCTGTGTTTTATCTAAGAAGATTTGCTACCTTTATTGGCACATTGTTTTGAGATCAGATACCCCCAAATATAATTTTAAAATAGTTAGGGGCGCCTGGGTGGCGCAGTCGGTTAAACGTCCGACTTCAGCCAGGTCACGATCTCGCGGTCTGTGAGTTCGAGCCCTGCGTCGGGCTCTGGGCTGATGGCTCAGAGCCTGGAGCCTGTTTCCGATTCTGTGTCTCCCTCTCTCTCTGCCCCTCCCCCGTTCATGCTCTGTCTCTCTCTGTCCCAAAAATAAATAAACGTTGAAAAAAAAATTAAAAAATAAAATAAAATAAAATAGTTAAAAGCCCTTCAGGGGTGCCTGGCTGACTCAGTTGGAAGAGCATGTGACTCGATTTCGAGATGGTGAGTTTAAGCCCCATGCTGGGTGCAGAGTTTACTTAAAAATAATAAAATCTTTAAAAAGCATTCCTCAAAGTGATGAAACCATCATAGCTATAAAGTTGCAAAAATTAAATTCTTAGTAAGTTTAAGTGCATGAACTTAGAGTGTAATCAAATAACCAACCAGCCTTTTATTTTTATTTTTATTTTAAATTTTTTTTTAACGTTTATTTATTTTTGAGACAGAGAGAGACAGAGCATGAACGGGGGAGAGGCAGAGAGAGAGGGAGACACAGAATCGGAAGCAGGCTCCAGGCTCTGAGCCATCAGCCCAGAGCCCGACATGGGGCTCGAACTCACGGACCGTGAGATCGTGACCTGAGCTGAAGTCGGACGCCTAACCGACTGCGCCACCCAGGTGCCCCATAGCTTTTTATTTTTTAAGTTTGTTTATTTATTTGGATCGTGAGCAGGGGTGGGGGCAGAGAGAGAGGGAGAGAGAGAGAATCCCAAGCAAGCTCCGTAGTCAGCCCAGAGTCAGACATGGGGCCTGAACTCATGAACTGGGAGATCATGACCAGAGCCAAAATCAAGAGTTGGATGATTTAACCACCCAGGTGCCCCCCACAACCAGCCTTTTAGATGCCAATTTAAAAGCTTAATGGGGCGCCTGGGTGGCGCAGTCGGTTAAGCGTCCGGCTTCAGCCAGGTCACGATCTCACGGTCCGTGAGTTCGAGCCCCGCGTCAGGCTCTGGGCTGATGGCTCAGAGCCTGGAGCCTGTTTCCGATTCTGTGTCTCCCTCTCTCTCTGCCCCTCCCCCGTTCAGGCTCTGTCTCTCTCTGTCCCAAAAATAAATAAAAACGTTGAAAAAAAATAAAATAAATAAATAAATAAATAAATAAAAGCTTAAAAAAAGAAGGGACCCCAGAGTGGCTCAGTTGCCTGAGTGTCCAACTTGGGCTCAGGTTATGATCTCACAGTTGGTGAGTTCAAGCCCCCACATCAGTCTCACTGCTGTCAGCACAAAGCCCGCTTTGGATCTTCTTCCCCCCCACCCCCCACCCCGCCCCTCCCCTGCTCGTGCTCTCTCTCTCTCTCTCTCTCTCAAAATAAACAAACATGAAAAAAAATAAAAGCTCAAAAAATAAGAAGTTTAAAGTATCCGACGTGACCTTCATAAATTGGTTAACGTCTCAAGATGATTACGTGTGCTGTTCAAAGCAAGTTGCAGGGGCGCCTGGGGGGCTCAGTTGGTTAAGCGTCGGACTTCAGCTCAGGTCATGGTCCCCCAGTTCGTGGGTTCGAGCCCCGCGTCGGGCTCTGAGCTGACCCGGGGATGGGGGTGGGGGGGTGGGGGGTGGGGGGGGAACTCTCCCTCCCTGGAGCTCCGGGCCCCTCCTCACTCCCCTGAAGTTGCTTTTCCCCTTGATTTCAGCCTGGGGTGCCAACTGCCTCATTCATCCTCCAGCCGAAGCACCCAGCACGGGGCCGGGCCTGCGCGGTGCCCACGTGTCTGTTGAAGCGAAAACGCCGCGTGCAACTACCACTGCGCCTTTTGCGGGGATGCAGCCAAGGGAGTTGGGTGGAGACTCCGCTTGAGATTTTAAGGAGACAAAGATGAGGACGCCTTCCTCCCCCGTGGAGACAAAGTCGTGGAGCTGGCCGATTGCTTCGTCTTTTCACGCGACGGGGAACGAGGGGCAGAGAAGCAAAACCTCAGTCCTGGCAGCCGCCGAGCCCAACGCGGGAGGCGGCGTGGATCCTGGCAGCTCGCGTGTTCCATGAGGGACGCCTGCTTTGCTGGCAGCCGGGAGAGAAAGGCTCCGAATAGCACAGGCGAACCCACTCACAAAAACACAGAAGCTCCCCTGGACTGTAGGCGAGGGGTCGGGGTTGGGGGAAGGCCAGGAGGAGGCCTGGGGGGGGGGGGGGGGGGGGGGGGTGGCCCCGCCCCCCTGACTTGGAGCATGTCCCAGCGCCGTCAAAGGGACTTGAATTTCCCCCGTGATGGGCCGGGAATGGAATCCAACGCCCGTCGAGTTCAGAGGCGGCGAGAGCCTGGCTCAGGGCTCGCAAGGTAGGTAATGGCAGGCTGCGGCCGGGGTGGGGGGCAGGAGGCCATGGGGGGAGGGTCTCCGGGCCCCACTGCTGAGAACTGGGCTGTCCCTCTGTTGGGGACTCGGTGAGTTCCCCGGCACTCTGAGTTCCAGGGGAGTGGGGATGGTAGTCCTGGAGGCAGTGAGAACCGCAGCCCAAACAAGAAAGCAGGCAGTGGTGGACGTGAATCAGGGGCCGGGGGCCAGAGGCAAAGCCCCAGCCTGGGAGACCGCGCTGTTAACCAGCCTGAGTGCCTCTCCCGGGGCCTTCTGACAAAATAGTCCTACTGTCCAAGATAGTCCCTTCAGAAGCTCCTTAAGGAAAGGGTCCTGGGGGGTGGGGGGGACCCCTGGGTGGCTCAGTCGGTTAAGTGCCTGGCTTCGGCTCAGGTCGTGATCTCACAGTTGGTGGGTTCAAGCCCCGCGTCAGGCTCTGTGCTGACAGCTTGGAGCCTGGAGCCTGCCTCGGATTCTGTCTCCTTCTCTCTCTGTGTCTCCCCTGCTGGTGCTCTCTCTCTCTCTCTCAATAAAAAACATTAAAAAAAAAAAAAAAAAAAGGAAAAGATCCTGGGGTCACAGAAGTTTGGGAAACACAGCTACAGTAAACCCTCTTAGGGATTCACAACGAACAGTAGCCCCAAGGGGCTCTTCATGAAAGGAAAAATAGCAAAAACCAAAACCAAAAAACGCTTTACTTTCTTGAACCCAGGCTTTCCTCAAACGCTTTTCTTAGCGTTAAGGCCTGTCGGCGTCCTGCAGAAAGAGTTCCATCAGCCGTAACATGGGGACTGCTGTTCCCCGGAGGCCTTGACCCTGGAATATTGCCTTTCTAACAATCGATAGTGAAACAGATTTAATTATAAATCTTAGCTGTGAGTTTTAATGTCTTCTTGTCTCAAATAACATGTCAGAGTTATGGAAAATTCACATGTCTTTTTTTGTTTTTCCAATTAGCTTTTTCAAAAAATATTTTATTTATTTTTCACAAGCGGGGGAGGGGCAGAGAGAGGGGACAGAGGATCCGAAGCGGGTTCTGCACTGACAGCAGTGAGCCCCACTGGGGCTCGAACCCACGGACCCTGAGATCGTGACCTGAGCCAGAGGTGGACACTCAACGAACTGAGCCACCCAGGTGCCCCATTTCCAATTCGTGTTTTAAAGATGAACTTTATTTTTTTTTTTAATTAAAATCAAAAAAATTTATTTTATTTTATTTTTAGAGAGAGAGAAGTATGCACAAGTAGGGTGGGGGGAGGCAGAGAGAGGGAGAGAGAGAATCTCAAGCAGGCTCCACACTCAGTGAGGAGCCCAATGCGGGGGGACCCTGGGAGCATGACCTGAGCCGAAATCAAGAGTCCGACGCTTACCGACCGAGCCTCCCAGGTGCCCTCAACTTTAGTTTTTAGAGCAGTTTGGGGTTCACAAAAACTTCAGCCGCAGGTAGAGAGTTCCTGTATGTTCCCTGCCTCCACACAGGCACAGCGTCACTCACTATCAACGTCCCCCACAGGATGGGGCATTCGTTACCACTGATGAACCTACAGGGACACATCAATATCACATCAGTATCACCTACAGCCCCTAGCGAACATTAGGGTTCACGCTTGGTGTTGTACAGTGAGTTTGAACAGATGTATAACAACATGTCTCCACTGTTATAGTGTCATACAGTGTTTTCAGTGCCCTCGACACCGAAAGCGTCCTCTGTGCCCTGTGTATTCGCTCCTCCCTCCCCCCTACCCATGGCCACCACTGATTTTATTACAGTTACTGTCACCACACAAAGTTATTCCAATATTATCGGCTATCTTCCCTGTGCTGTACTTCGTATCCCTTGACCTGTTTGTTTTATAACTGAAAGTTTGCACCTCTTAACCCACTTCACCTATTTCACCCAGCCCCCCCCCCCCTTTCTGGAAACCACTAGTTTCTCTCTGTATTTATGAGTCTGTTTCTGATTTGTTTTTAGATTCCACAAACACATGAGATCGTATGGTATATGGCCTCCTCTGTCTAACTTGTTTCACTTACCATAATGCCCTCTAGGTCCATGAAGAGAATATTTTTAAGAGGGGAGGAAGAGATGGGGTGCCTGGGTGGCCCAGTCGGTTGAGCGTCTGACTTCGGCTCAGGTCACGATCTCGCGGTTCGTGGGTTCGAGCCCCGCATCGGGCTCTGTGCTGACAGCTCGGAGCCTGGAGCCTGCTTCCGTTCTGTGTCTCCCTCTCTCTCTCTGCCTCCCCTGCTGGCACTCTGTCTCTCTCTCTCTCCCTCTCAAAAATAAATAAACATTAAAAAATTAAAAAAGAAAAGAAAAAAGAAAACCACTGGCCTATGGGGAAACCCAGACTCCATCAGAAAGTCTCAAAAAGTTTTTTCTATTCGGCCATTTACCACTGGTAAGCATTTGGTGACCTAAAAGGTTAGTGAGAAGACAGATATGAAGACCCAGGAGATACGAAAGAAATGGGCCAAGGACATGGCTTTTCATCTCACAAGACAAACCGCATCAGGCTTTGGCTGGGACAGGACATGCGTCGGTCAGGTCACGAGGCCAAAGGAGAGAGAAGAGGTCGTTTGCTCCCGAAACCTGTGGAAGGAGACCGTTGGAACCTTCGTTTGCAGGGTTATCTGCAAGTCTTTTCTTGATCTGAAAAGCCGTTTGGTTCTGTGCAACTGCCCTTTTGAATGTTCCTCGAGGGGAAATACTTGGTCTTTTCCGGAATCAAAAGCTAGGAGGGGCGCCTGGACGGTTCGGTCGGTTGAGCATCGACTCTTGATTTTGGCTCAGGTCATGATCTCCAGGTTCATGGGTTCGAGCCCCACGTTGGGATCTGCACTGACAGCGCGGAGGCTGCTTGGGATTCTCTCTCTCGCTCTCTCTCTGTCCCCTCCCCGCTTGCGTGCTCTCTCTCTCTCTCTCAAAATAAATAAATAAACTTGAAAAAAAAGAGAGAACTAATACCTAATACTTGTTGTAACCATCTTATTTTTTTTTTTTTTATTCCTTTAAATGTTTGTTCATTTTTGAAGGAGAGAGAGACAGAGCGTGAGCAGGGGAGGGGCAGAGAGAGAGGAAGACACAGAATTTGAAGCAGGCTCCAGGCTCCCAGCTGGCAGCACAGAGCCCGATGCGGGGCTCGAACCCACGAGCTGTGAGATCAGGACCTGAGCCGGAGTTGGACGCTGAACCGACTGAGCCACCCAGGCGCCTCTTTAGATTTCAGTTTAAATGTTGCTTCCCTGTCCCCAATGTCTAGGCAAGTCTGTTATGTCCCTGGTTGCAGTACTTTGTGTACTGGTAATTAACCAGTCACTAGCAATAACTTCGTTTTTGTCTCCCTCGCTCGACTTTAGCACCTGTGTCTCCACACACGTACGGTTGTGTGTTCCCACCACCTACTGGCACCTGATACATGGTGGCTGCTCCGGAGGCATCCGTCGAATGATGAGTGAGGTCATGCCCGTTGGGACTCCCAGTTTCAATGTTGGCTAAAAATGTCAAAAAAATACATTATTTTTGGGGTGCCTGGGCGACTCGGTCAGTTAAGCATCCGACTCTTGATTTTGGCTCAGGTCATGATCTTACGGTTTGTGAGTTGGAGCCCCGCATCAGGCTCTGACGGTGCTGACGGTGGGAAGCCTGGTTTGGATTCTCTCTCTCTCTCCCTCCCTCTCTGCCCCTCCCCCGCTCTCTCTCTCTCTCTCAAAATAAATAAACTTAAAAAAAAGGTTATTTCCTATTAACTTATGTCTGTTTAGCTTCTGACCTGAGAATCACAATTTGTCTTAATTTCCTTTCAACGTTTCCTAAGAACATTCCTTCAGATCAAGGGCTGTGACCCTGACCCAGTCTTTTAAAATAGTTTTCTTTTTAATTTTTTTTTTTTACATTTATTTATTCTTTGAGAGACAGAGCACCATTGGGGGGGGGGGGGCAGAAAGAAAAGGAGACACAGAATCCGAAGCAGGCTCCAGGCTCCAAGCTGTCAGCACAGAGCCTGACAGGGAGCTCGAACTCACAAACTGTGAGATCACGACCTGAGCCGAAGTCAGACGCTTGACTGAGCCACCCAGGCACCACTTAAAATATGTCTTCTCTCAGTGCTTCTGAACAATTCATATCCTCGCTTTTGTATTCTCATTGGCAATGGTAGCATAGTATTTTACCATGTGGAGGGTTTATGTAACCATTTCCTATCGAGGGGGCATTTATGGTGTTTTTAGCTATATATTTTTTAAGTTTATTTAATTACTTTGAGAGAAAGAGAGAAAGCACGAGTGGGGGAGGGGCAGAGAGAGAGGGAGGGAATCCCAAGCAGGCTCCCCATTGTCAGTGTGGAGCCCAATGTGGGGCTCAAACTCACAAACCGTGAGATCATGACCTGAGCTGAAGTCAGATGCTTAACCGACTGAGCCACCCAAATGCCCCTCTTGTTTCTTTTTAATGTGTATTTATTTATTTTGAGAGAGAGAGTGAGAGAGAATGGGACAGGGGCAGAGAGAGGGGGAGAGAGAATCCCAAGCAGGCTCTGCACTGTCAGCACCGAGCCCGATGGAGGACTTGATCTCAAGACTGGTGAGATTGTGACCTGAGCTGAAATCAAGAGTTGGATCTCGACCAACTGAGTCACCCAGGTGCCCCATTCAACTTTCTGATAATCGTTAAAAAAGGGAAAAAAAAAAAAAGCCACAATAGGGGGGCGTGGCTGGCTCAGTTGGTAGAGCACATGACTCTTGATCTCAGGGTTGTAAGTTCGAGCCCCACATTAGGTGTAGAGATTACTTTTTTTTTTAATTTAATTTTTTATCTTTTTAAATTTACATCCAAATTAGTTAGCATATAGTGCAGCAATGATTTCAGCAGTAGATTCCTTAGTGCCCCTGACCCATTTAGCCCATCCCCCCTCCCACAACCACTCCAGTAACCCTCTGTTTGTTTTTCCATATTTATGAGTCGCTTCTGTTTTGTCCCCCTCCCTGTTTTTATATTCTTTTTGTTTCCCTTCCCTTATGTTCATCTGTTTTGTCTCTTAAAGTCCTCATATGAGTGAAGTCATAGGATTTTTGTCTTTCTCTGACTAATTTCACTTAGCGTAATACCTTCCAGTTCCATCCACATAGTTGCAAATGGCAAAATTTCATTCTTTTTGATTGCCGAGTAATACTCCATTGTATATATATACACCACATCTTTATCCATTCATCCATCGATGGACATTTGGGCTCTTTCCATACTTTGGCTATTGTGGATAGTGCTGCTATAAACATGGGGGTGCACGTGTCCCTTCGAAACAGCACCCCTGTATCCCGTGGATAGATGCCGAGTACTGCAATTGCTGGGTTGTAGGGTAGTTCTGTTTTTAGTTTTTTGAGGAACCTCCGTACTGTTTTCCAGAGTGGCTGCACCAGCTTGCATTCCCATAGGTGTAGAGATTACTTAAAAATAAAATCTTTTGGGGCGCCTGGGTGGCTCAGTCGGTTGAGCGTCCGACTTTGGCTCAGGTCATGATCTCACGGTCCGTGAGTTCGAGCCCCGTGTCGGGCTCTGTGCTGACAGCTCAGAGCCTGGAGCCTGCTTCCGATTCTGTGTCTCCCTCTCTCTCTGCCCCTCCCCCATTCATGCTCTGTCTCTCTCTCTCTCAAAAATAAATAAACATTAAAAAAATTTTTTTTAAATAAAAATAAAAAAAATAAAATCTTTTTTGGGGTGCTTGGGTGGCTCAGTCAATTAAGCGTCCAACTTCAGTTCAGGTCAGGATCTCACAATTTGTGGGTTTGAGCCCCACATGGGGCTCTGTGCTGACAGCAAGGAGCCTGCTTTGGATCCTCTGTCTCCCTCTCTCTCTGCCCCTTTCCCGCTCGTGCTCTCTCTCTCTCTCTCTCTCTCTCTCTCTCTCTCTCTCTCTCCAAGATAGATAAACATTTAAAAAATAAAAAGAGAATCTTTTAAAAAAATGCCATAATAAAGACCCTCATACATAAATGTTGCTACATCCCCAATTATTTTCTCAGGATAAATTTCTAAAAATAGAACTAGTAAGTTAAAGGGTCTGAGCATTTTCTAAGACTAAAGACATATTTTGCCTGGTTTTGTTCCACTAGGGTTGAGCTGGCGTCTCAGACTTAACTCAGTATTCATGTGAGTTGCCTGCTGACTCTATACCCACCCCTTGCCTTTTCGGTGTCAGCGCCTACATCCGCTCTATCTCCTGTATTTCGTCCTGCTTCCCGACTGGCAACCACATTGCTTGATTTCTGTGTCTCATGACTCTCCTGACTGATTTGTTCATTGAGTTAAATATTTACGGAGCTGCTACTGTGCGCCAGCAATGGTGCTCGGCAAAGCGAAGTAAACAGCTGTCCAAATGGTAACCGAAGGTGGTAAGTGTTCAGAAGGGCGCCGACGGAATGCTAGAATGTAGTAAGAGAATAAATCTTCTCTCCTTCGATAGGTTTTGAGGAAAGTCCTTTCTGAGAAGGTGAGCCCAAAGGATAAGTAGGAACTAACTGACTGATAAGTACACGAAAAGATGCTTGACACCATTAGTCATTAGGGCAGTGCCAATCAAAACCACAGTGAGGCACCGCTTTGCAGCCGCTAAGATGGTTGTAATGAAAATAAACATGGGAACAGGTGGATGACAGGGAGAAATCAGAAGCTTCAAACACCCCTTGTGGGAATGCAGAATGGTACAGCTGCTGCGGAAATGGTCCGGCATTTCCTCAAATGTCTGAACCTAGAGTCGCCACGTGACCCGGTATGTTATTAAAGAGAACTGACGACGTGTATTCACACAGAGCCCACTCATGAATGTTCGTAGCAGCATTATTCCTAACAGCCAGAGATTCGAAACAACTCAAGCGTCCACGAAGAGGTGAATGGGGAAACCAAATGTGGTATGTCCATTCAGAGGAATGTTATTCAGCCATAAAAAAGAACGAGGCACCTTGCTCTTCTACAATCCGCTCCCCCAAAGGCAAATCGTGTTATTCTGACTCTTCTGGTGCTTTCTCATCACACTTAGAATGAAATCCAAACTCCTCATCCGAGTTTACCGAGCACTAGATGATCTGGCTCCTACCCGCCTCTCAGACCTATTCTCCGATATGCGTTCATTCCCCTGCCCACTTCTTTTTTTTCTGTACTTAAAACATTCCAAGTTCATCTAGACTGTAGTGTTTCTTCTGCTTGAAATACTTTCTCTTCTGGTCTTTGACTGGCTCCGTTTTATCATGTGGATCTCATCTTAAATGCTCTCTCCTCAGAGTTGGCTTTCTCGGCCACTCAGTGTAACAAGTCGTGTAGGCCCTTCTCTCCAGACATTCAGTGTCAGCTCTCTGCATGGCCTCAGTGCCATCTGATGTTGTTTCTTCTTTGTTTCTTGTCTCTCTTTCCCACAAAATCTAAGCTCAATGAAATGTAGGGACCTCATCACTTAGAACAGTGCTTGAACGGAGGGCACGTAGGTGGCTCAGTCGGTTAAGCGACTGACTCTCGGTTTCGGCACAAATCACCATCACACGGTTCGTGGGTTCAAGCCCCGTGTCAGGCACTTGGGCCTGCACAGGGCCTGCTTGGATTCTGTCTCTCCTTCTCTCTCTGCTCCTTCCCTCTCTCCCCCCAACAAAAAAATGGGCAAACTTAAAACGATTTTTTAAAAATTTTTTTAGTGTTTATTTGTTTTGGAGAGAGACAGAGGGCGAGCAGGGGAGGGGCAGAGAGGGAGAGAGAGAGGGAGACGCAGAATGCAAAGCAGGCTCCAGGCTCTGAGCTGTCAGCACAGAGCCCGACGCGGGGCTCGAATCCACAGACCGCCAGATCACGACCCAAGCTGAAGTTGGACACTCAACCAACTGAGCCCCCCAGCCGCCCCCCAAAATCTTTAAAAATAAAGAACAGTGCTTGAATGAATGAATAAAAGCCTTTCCATGAAAAGGAAAAAAAGGAAGTGCTGACACAGGCCACAACATGGATGAAGCTTGCAAACATGATGCTAAGTGAAAAAAGCCAGATAGAAAAGGCTGTGGCCTGTTGTGATGCCATTTATATGAAATGTTCAGAAGAGGCAAATCCATAGATGAAGCATAGATTGGTGGTTGCCACGGGCTAGGGGTGGGGGGATGGGGAATAACCACTTTTTAAAAGTTGATTTACTTATTTTGAGGCGGAGGAGGGGCAGAGGGAGGGAGACAGGGAATCCCTAGCAGGCTCCACACCGCCAGCAAGGAGCCCAGTGCAGGGCTTGGACTCACGAACTGTGAGACGATGACCTGAGCCAAAGTCCTACGCTCAACTACGGAGCCACCCAGGCACCCAGGGAATAACGACTTTTAACGGGTATGAGGGTTTGGGGGGAGGTGAGGAGGTTGTTCTGAAATTAGATCGTGGTGATGATTGCACAACATTGTGAATACGCTTTAAAAAACACCAAATTGCAGGGCGCCTGGGGGGGCTCAGTCAGTTGCGTGTCCGACTCTTGGTTTGGGCTCAGGTCACGATCTCAGGGTTTGTGATTTCGAGCCCCACGTTGGGCTTTGTGATGACGGCACGGAGCCTGGTTGGGATTCTCTCTCTCTCTCTCTCTCTCTCTCTCTCTCTCTCCCCCTCTCTTTGCCCCTCCCCAGCTTTCTCTGTCTCTTAAAAAAGAACTAAGTAACGATGAAAAAATTATTTAAATGAAAAAACACTGCATTACACACTTTAAGACGATTAAAACGGGATTTTACACTAATGGAATTACTTGCTTTTGAGGTGAAATTCACCTAACATAAAATCCACTATTTTAAAGTGTACAGTTCAGTGGCATTTAACACATTCCCAAGGAAAGTGAAGGAAACAACACCCGCGTGTCATGTCAGGAGAGGATGACTGTCTTCCCATTGCCATTTTACAATGCGCTTGTAATTTTTTTTTAGTTTATTTGTTTATTTGAAGAGAGAGGGGGTGCGCACACACAGGAGGGGCAGAAAGAGAGACAGAATCCCAAGCAGGCATCGTGCCGTCAGCGCAGAGCCTGATGTGGAGCTCGAACTCAGGAACCCTGAGATCATGACCTGAGCTGAAACCAAGAGTCAGACACTCAGCTGACTGAGCCACCCAGGCGCCCCTACGACGCACTTTTTAAACAAAATCTTCCAAGGAAAGATATTATGAAAGATTACCGTGAGGGGCTTCATTTTGCTGACACGTGGTACAAGTTGCAAAGTTATAATATCAGTCCCTTAGGAATTACTTTATGCTGCTATGAATGAAATAAACTTTGAGATACCAAAAGTGCAGGGAGCAATCAGAAACAGTCAGGAATAGCACAGCAAATCCAGAAGGACAAGAGCTTTATTACCACGGCTGAGCTGAGCAGGGGTGAAGCAGGAGAGAGAGGCAAATGGAAGGAACAGGGTCAACCAAAGACCAGAAGGAGAGAGACACAGACAGAGACAGAGACAGAGACAGAGCGTGAGCAGGGGAGGGGCAGAGAGAGAGAGGGAGACACAAAGCTGTCAGCACAGAGCCCGACCCGGGGCCCGAACCCACAAACCGAGAGATGGTAACCTGAGCCTAAGGCAGACACCCCACCGACTGAACCACCCAGGCACTGTCCTTACCCTTTCTTAATATGATTGGCGTTTCCGAGGCCACACTTCCCGTTGCCGTCACCAAGTTGCGTCAGCTCCTTTGCGCTCAGAGACCACCCCTCTTGTATATTCTGATGACCGACCTTTTGCCCAGATCAAGAAAGCTCCATGAAGAATGAGGTTTGTCCGTTCATCCTTCCGTCCATGCAGGAAGGTATTATTGAGCAACAATCATATGCAAGGCACATGTCACTTAATACACGGAAAACGGAAAAATGGCTAGGTTGATTGCTAGGGCAAAGGGTCACAGCAGCCTTTTCTGTGTGCATTTCCATCGATGGCTAGGCAGCAAGACTTCAAAAAGCAACCAGTTGCATGCAGGGGGCTCAGAGGCCTCCCCTGTGAATTATTTGCAATGACCATTCTCTAGGACGGAAAAAGAAGCCTGGCAAGTTTTTATATTTGTCCTTTAATACCTCTAAGGTGGGGCGCCTGGGTGGTTGAGCATCTGACTTCGGCTTGGGACTGATGGGGTTGCTGAGAACAGGAGTTAATGCAGGTAAAAAGCTTCCACAGCAAGGGCTGGGACACAGTGAGTCCTTAAACATTAGTATTTTGTAATTTTTTTAAAAAATTTATTTATTTACTTTGAGAGAGAGCACAAGCAGGGGAGGGGCAGAGAGAGAGAGGGAGAGAAAAAGAATCCCAAGCGGGGATGCAGGGCTCGAACCCACAAACTGAGATCATGACCTGAGCCGAAAGCAAGAGTCGTTCGCTCAACGTGCTAAGCCACCCAGGTGCCCCTTATTTTGTAATTCTTTAATGTTTATTTATTTTGAGAGAGAGAGAGAGCACGAGCATGTGTGGGGGGAGGGGCAGAGAGAGAGGGTGAGAGAGAATCCCAAGCAAGTTCCACACTGTCAGCACAGAGCCCCCTGCAGGGCTCGAACCCACGGACCGTGAGATCATGACCCGAGTCGAAATCAAGGGTCGGACCCTTAACTGGTTGTTCCACCCAGGCACCCCTATTATTGTTATTATTATTAAAATATATACAAATCGACACAGTTTAAATCCACCAGGAATAGTTAGTGCTTTCGGCAATGCAGCGTTATTGAAAACTTTATTGTGTGAAGCTATTGCCACTTTTCTCGGCGATTACCAAGTTCTTTGGGGATAAAGAGAAACTTGGATATTTCAGTGAGCTAGGTTTTCACGGTGACTGAAACAGGTGGGGGAGTTCCAGTGACCACAAAGGAGCGAAGCGCACAGAATTCTCACGCGAATCATTGCTAATGGGAAAGTTGACTTTTCCTCTGGATTAAGGACAACATGACACGACGGGTTCTAAGAACAGTGGTGGGTTTGCAGAGGATTATAAGAGCAGGCTGCAGGGGTGCCTGGTGGCCCAGTCGGTTAAGCGTCCAACTCTTGATTTGGGCTCAGGTCATGATCTCATGGTTTGTGGGTTCAAGCCCTGCATCGGGCTCTGCACTGAGAGCACAGAGCCTGCTTGGGATTCTCTCTCTCTCCCTCTCTCTCTGCCCCTCCTATGCATGCGAGCTCACTCTCTCTCAAAATAAATATATGGACTTCAAAAATAAGAGAAGGCTGCAACCCGAGGGACCCAGAAACAACAGAGACTGGGACCTAAGTAACCACCACCAAAGAAACGGGGATCAGAGCTGTGCGTCATCAGAAGGAAATGGGTAATGGTGCTTGGGTGGGGCTTTATTCTTTCCAGGGGAGATTCAGGCTCAGAATCAATAATTTGGTGAAATGAAAAGAAAACGTGAAGGGGACTGGACGGAGAGTTCTAGTACTAGAGACAGCACAGGTCACGTTGATACAAGCATGGCACTCACAGGAGGAGGGCTCGGGGGAGATGGCCTTTTACCCGTTGGCCTTTCTGGGTCTCAGTTTCCCAGCCACGGAATGAAAATTCAATGGAGACCGTCTTCCTCCACAAAGTTAGAAAAGGAGTAAATGTCAAAGTTCCTTAAAAGAGACATTCGCTAAATGTAATTATTGCGTGCGGATATTGTCATGTATTTACTCTTCCAGATTAATTTTGGAATCACTTGGCTGATTTCTCATGAAATTCTTTTGGATTTTTTTGTTGAAACTGAGTTAATGTATACATCAATTTGGGAAGAATTGACAGAGTTTTAATGTTACGTCTCTTCTTCTGGGGACAGGACATGCCTCTGCATTTATTCCAGTCTCCCTTTGTGTGCTGCAGGAAAGACTCTCAGGTTTTTGTGTAAAGGTTCCTTACATTTCTAATTTTGTTTATGACTAGACCCTTTACACTCTTTGGTTGCTATTTGAAATTGGATGTTTTCTCATTATATTTCGTATCTGGGTTATAGAAAAGCTATTTTTTAATATTGATTTTAGAACCAGCCACTTAATGAACTTCTTTTATTCTTTCCAGCAGCATTTCGGTTGATTGCCAGAGAGTTTCTGACTACACAGATAGAGGACCTGAAAAAGAGAGAGAGAAAAGGATAATTTAATCTCTTGGTTTCCAATAATTAAACTCATTTTTTCATTGTCTCGTTGGTTAAAAACTACCAGAACAACATTGAATAATAGGGTGAGAGGGTACACGTTTTACACGGTTGTTTCAGATTTTTAAAATGTTCGGATTTTATTTTTTCAAGTTTATTTATTTATTTTGAGAGAGCGCGCACATTCGTGCGTGAGAGAGACAGAGAAAGAGAGAGAGAGAGAGGGAGAGAGGGGGAGGGGGAGAGAGGGGGAGAGAGAGAGAGAATCTTAAGCAGGCTTCACCCTCAGTGAGGAGCCAGCCCAGGGCTCGATCCCATGATCCCGGGATCCTGACCTGAGCCCAAACCAAGCGTTGGACACTCAACCGACTGAGCCACACAGGTGCCCCTGTTTCAGATTTTTGAGTGAATGCCTGTAGAGGTTATGGGTATGATGTTTACTGTTGGTTTCAGAGAGAAAACTTCTAATACATGAAGGAAGATTCCTTCTATTTTTTCTTTACTAGCGGGAAAAAGAAAACACGTGTTAGTTATTAGAGTTCCTGCTTGCAAAGAGTATTTCCCACAAGGCCCCGCATATCTCATTTCGGTCAAAAGCCCTTAGATCCACCCCAACTTAGCACACATCGTCGGATTTGTGAATCAGTAATAGTTTGCGTAATCATTAGGACCCGAATACAGAAAGCCCCTTTTAAATAAACACGGCGAAAATTAAAGTAAATTCGGGAGAACAGGGATCCCGCGCAAGTGCCACATGTGAGGCATTTTGTCAGACGCTCCCAAGCAGTGTTTCTCGAAGAGGGGTCCACGGTTCACCTGAAGTGCTTGCTGGAAGGTGTAGATTGACGACTGCATCCCAGAACCACCGAAGGGGACGCTGGGGACGGAAGCTGGCGAGCCACCATCGCAGCGCGCTCCCCCAGTGATGCTCGTGCACCTTGCGGTTTAAAACCCCGCCGCAAAGATCGGCAGAACTTGAACAAAAGGGAAGCTGAGTGTATTTAAACTTGTCATCACAGAGTGGCGTTAGCTTACCTGTCACGCCGCAGTGAGTCAACCAGTCGACGAAACAGCCTGCCTACAACTCACCCCGTCACCGAGGTCTGGGTGGAATCCTGACCATTTCTAGAAAGTTCTCTACATGGCCGATTTTTTCCCAACAGTGCCACAGAGGCTCCAGTAAGCCTCCAGAGGAGGTGGAGTTGCGGGAACTCTCTTTTTACAACGTCAAGCCCGGCGGGTCCACTTCTATCTGTTTTAGCGCCCCGGGGAATATTCTAAGAATAAACGTTTGAAAATGACTGATCTACACCCGTTAGCGACATCTTGATTTTACTGAAGATTTTGATCTTTTTATGTCGGTGCATGTGATTACAACAGTCTTGATTTGAACAAGGTGGACATAGTCCCTTCTGTGTGTTTCTTCCTTTAGATATTGGTCTCAAAAAGTGAAATCTCTTCTATATCAGGAACCACGACTGCGCATGTCATGTCTAAAATGCTTCTATGAATCCCAGGACATTCTATAGCTGTTCATTATTGTTATTATTCAGAAATTCTCTAAAATTTTTATTTTAAAGGTTTTGAAAAGGGAGGGGGGCGGAAACCCCAGTGAGATAAAGATGGGATAATTAGGGGCACCTGGCTGGCTGGGTCGGTAGAGCATGTGACTCTTGATCTCCCGGTTGTAAGTTCAAGCCCCATGCTGGGTGTACAGATCACTCAAAAACACGCAAAAAAAAAAAAAAAAAAAAGAAAAGAAAAGAAAAAAGAAAAAGGTAATGAATGTAGGCTCTGGGCCCAGGACTAGGACAGGAGCCGGATCTCTGGCTAGAGCCTTCTGATCACCTTCTGTTTTTTGGTGAATATCCTTATTCCCCTCTGGGTCTCAATTCCCTCTGTTAAATTGAAGATGCTGGAGCGTGAGATTTACAAGATTCCTTCCGGCCCTAAAAGTTGATGACTTATTTGCATGTCAAAGAATTCAACATAGCCTGCATATCACAGTACGTCAGGCTCTAGTCACAAATAAGAAGAATTTTCTGGTTAATCATCAGGTACAGAATAATGTCCTGTACCGCTAGAGATGAAGACTTATTACAAAATTAACTCAGCACAATTAGTGTTTACTTATGTGTAATTAAAAGCAAATTATTACTTTTTTAATGTTTATTTATTTTTGAGAGAGAGAGAAAGAGAGCAAGAGCGGGAGAGGGGCAGAGCGAGGGAGACACAGACTCCGAAGCAGGATCCAGGCTCTGAGCTGTCAGCACAGAGCCCGGCACCGGGCTCGAACTCACAAACCATGAGATCATGACCTGAGCCGAAGTCGGACGGAAAAGCAAATTATTTTAAGGGACTCTAAGCTCATCATCATCATTATATTTTTTAAACTAACGCATGATACATTAACTTCCTGTGTTCCATTAAGATCACCAGCTCATTGTGGACAAGGATGCCACATTCAATCAGGAGCGGGATCTCATTTCTCCACTTCAGGTTTGGGCTCCCTTTCTATTTATTTTTCAGGGCACGTTTTATTTTTTTCAGGTAGGTCCTTCCTCTCCTCCCACGACCTTAGCAGAGCTGACATTTTAGATGTGTTCTTTTGTACTCCATAATTTCTCACCGGTGCCCGCTGCTTATAACAAAAAATGAGTCGAGTTATGAACCTTTCACCTCTTTAGCAAACACCGTCAGAGCGCACCCTGCAGCCCTAGCAGGTGCTCTAGAGCATGGGAAGCAAAGAAGGAGAGGGGATGGCCGCGGTCCTGAGCAGTTGCCAGCCTTCCTGATTTACTGGAGGACGGGGAAACCATATCCAGCATCCTGATGTCGCGACAAGGCTGATCCTTGACCAATGCCCATTTTTCCCTTTGAAACAAAATTCCTTAGCAACAGTCTCTTGTGAAATATACATTTGACATTTTAACAGTATGGTGTTCGTCGGACGCAGAGCCCCGGGAATATCTCTTTGCGGTTGTCAAAACAAATTCAATGACAAGATAAGGAGTGGGTTGAAGTAATTAATACTATTTTGGTGTAAGCATCCCTAACAAAGTGGTAAAAGACAAGGGCTGAAAACGACAGCCGCTTTACCTAATGATCGTATTTCGCCTTCCCCTGCCCCAAATGCTATTCTACTGTTTTATAAAAGAGAGATAAGGGGTAAGGCATCTTAGCAGAAGAAAAAAGTAGGCAGATACAACCTACAGAAGAATTTATCTTCCCTTTGCTTCCATCCCAGTTTCTTCTTTGCCTAGAGATCGTAGCATAGATGGTATTCCCAGGAGGTTGGGTTCCCCAGGGTTGGGTAAAGTAACGTATCTTAAACAACTCGTCACAGCTGACTTCTCCTTTGCGTTTGCATGTACCTTGCACTGCGTAAGCCCCTTATAATATGTATGGTTCTCTTTGCTTTGCTGGCTTTTTCCCCCCCCTTGTGTTAAAGAGACACTCGATAGCGTCCCACAGGGCTGTGTTTATTTTCACCTCACAGCTCCCCCACTTTTGCGAATGCAAATTAGACACTGCTGTAAGGTTTTTTTGTTTCCTGCTTTGTTGGAAAAGCTTTCACAGTGGCAATATCTGTGATCGCTGGTGTATTAAATGTCAGGCCTCGAATAATTACTCTGCCCTGAGCTGATGGTAAAACAGGGAACTAATTCTTTACTTCTCATTCCCGGGCAAGAGAACTGCCCTTAGGATTCAACCCATAATGGTCAAACATGCTCATATTCAGCCCTGTTGTGTATCTCATGCTACCTCCAAGAAAAAGAAAAGAAAGGAGGAGGAGGAGGAGGAGGAGGAGGAAGAGAGGAAGAAGAAGAAAGAAGGAAGAAAGATGAATTCACAGAACCTAGACTGACTACTACCATTAAGAGGAAATTACATTCACCATATTTCCATGAAATGGCAAAGAGAACCAAGACAAATGCCAGGATGCGTCTTGGATCTTACCGATTTATTAGCTTGTGACAGAATTTAGGAGAGCAGGAAAAGACGTGACTTGCACCCTTTGGGATCAAGTAAATTTTTTCCAAAATTATTTGTAAGATATTATTTGGCTATTTATTGTGTGCATTTGAAAATGAAAGTAAATTAAAGAATCCGTGGACTTTACATCTTTCTATACTTAAACAAATATTTTTAAGTTTATTTTGAGAGAGAGAGAGGGAGAGAGACAGCGCGCGTGCGCTTGCACATGCACGAGTGGGGCAGCCGCAGCCAGAAAGGAGAATATCAAGCAGGCTCCGGGCCGTCAGTGCAGAGCTGGTTTCCGGGCTTGAACTCACCAACCTGAGCCAAGATCACGATCAAGAGTCGGATGCCTAACCCACTGCGCCAATCAGCGTCCCCACCCCAACCTGTCTATACTTTTTTATAGTGTCTCTAGTGTAAGAACGTCGGGATCATTTGTGCATTATAACTTAATTCCTTCTAAGTCAAGTGTTTTCGTGTGATCTTTGAAATAAATAACAAAGAGAAGTATCAGTGTTCTTAAGTGGGAAATGGAGTACCAAATACCTCCAATTAAATGTGCAATGTGTCAGGAACTGCCAGCCGGCTGCTAACATTTGAGAATTGCGGTTTTCCAAATATATGTAGTTAAGTCGTCTGTTAAAAGGATACGCGAACCTGCACGCTCTCAGGAATACAGATGTCGATACTGGACCATGGGAGGAAGCCTCTGGTGCCCGGACTTCTGGATCTAGGCTTATAAATATGAATGAACAAGGCCAAGGAAACGCAACAGCAGCACGAGGGGGGGAGGGGCACCAGCCCACCACCTACCGCTCCGCGGGCAGCTCCCGCTGCACACCTGTGCCCACACCTGCACACGCCACGGACACCCGCGTCCACGCCCATGTCCACACCTGCTCCCCCCCGCGCCCCACCCACCCTGCTCCCCCCCGCGCCCCACCCACCCTGCTCCCCCCCCACGCCCCACCCACCCACACGCACATCCACATCGGCACCCACCCCACCCACCCACGTCCACGCCCGCATCCGACACCGGCCCACACCGCCTGCCACCGCGGAAACCCGCCCCAGGTGCGTGCGGGGCCTGGACTCCCCTTCTGTCCCCGCCGCAGGGATTCCTGC